ATTATCGCAAGCTCAACGCGCAGACGATCAGAAACGCCGGCCCTCTCCCACGCATCGACGATCTTCTCGAGCGACTGGGCGGTGCCAAGTTTTTCTCCAAGTTGGACCTCAAGTCGGGATATCACCAACTCAAGATTCGCAAGGAGGACCGTTACAAGACCGCGTTTAAGACGCGATATGGGCATTTCGAATGGCTGGTCATGCCATTTGGCCTTACGAATGCCCCGACCACTTTCCAAGCGGCTATGACAACGGAATTCCGACACATGCTGGATCGATACGTACTTATCTATCTTGACGACATCCTAGTGTACAGCCGGAGTTTAGAGGAGCATGTGGAACACCTGCGCACCGTTTTGGAGCGGCTACGACAGGCCAAGTACAAAGCAAACCGCGACAAGTGCGAGTTCGCACGGCAGGAGCTGGAGTACTTGGGCCATTATGTGACGCCGCAAGGCATCCGTCCGCTCGCGGACAAGATCAAGGCCCTACGAGTATGGCCCGAGCCCACCAACACCACGGACGTTCATTCATTCATGGGATTGGCGGGCTACTATCAGCGATTCATCACCGGATACTCCAGGATTGCTGCACCTATGACGAGGTTACAGTCGCCAAAGGTGCCATTCGTATTCGATGACGACGCACGCCGGTCATTCCAAGCACTTAAGGCGGCTATGCTCATGGCACCCGTCCTTAGCATCTATGACCCCACCTTGCCGACGAGAGTGACTACGGACGCTTCCGGCTATGGCATTGGGGCAGTCTTGGAACAACACGATGGCGACGACTGGCACCCTGTGGAGTATTTCAGCCACAAAGTGTCTCCCATCAACGCTTTCAGCTACTCGCGTTCGTCATGGCTCTCAAGTGATGGCGGCACTTCCTCCTTGGGCGTCGTAGGTTCACATGGGTTACAGACAACAATCCATTGACCAACTACAAGACGCAGGATACGGTGAGCAGCACGATCGGACGATGGATGTACTTCATCGACCAGTTTGACTTCACACCGAAACATCTACCCGGCCTCTCAAATCGCGCAGCAGATGCACTCTCGCGAAGACCCGATCTTTGCGCTATGACACATCATGCCTTCGCATTCGACGAGGAGCTTCAGCGACACTTCATCCGGGCATACGAGTCTGATCCGGACTTCGCCAAGCTGTATGCACAACTATCTTCGGATCACCCGCCGGCCATCCATTACCGCATTGTCGACTGGTACTTGCTCCTCCACTCGAGAGGCAAGGACTTACTATGTGTCCCACGCGACCGTCGTCTTCGGACTCGCCTCCTCGGCGAGTATCATGATTCGCGACTCGCCGGCCATTTTGGAGTCAACCGCACTATTGCACGGCTTCGACAGCGATTCCGATGGCCTGACCTCATTACCGATGTCACTCGGTATTGCGACTCGTGTGAAGTTTGTCGACGCAGCAAACCCCGCAACCGCAATCCCTATGGCGAGTTACACCCGATGCCTATCCCACGGGAACCCGGTCTCTCCATTCCCATGGACGTCACCGGTCCGTTTCCTCGCGACCGGCTCGGGCACGACGGCATCCTCACGGTTGTGGACCGATTAAGTACGCGCGTTTTCTCCCTTGCAAGTACTACTCCACGGCTCCCGAGCTAGCACGCATCCTGCACACTGGTTGGATTTCTGGCCACGGTGTACCAGAAGACATTGTCAGCGACCGCGACACTCGTTTCATGTCGGCATTTTGGACTGCTCTCATGCAGGAGTCCGACACAACAATGAAACCAAGTTCGGCTCGGCATCCTCAGACAGACGGGCAGACGGAGCGGGCACATCAAACTGCTCAAATGATGCTTCGTACGCTCATCCGTCCGGACCAGAAAGATTGGGTTGACCGCCTCCCCGACATCGAGTTCGCCTACAACACTTCGGTGCACCCGGCGATTGGCGTGACTCCATTCGAGTTGCACCACGGTGGACGGAAGGGCCGGATCTTCGCCAACCTTCTCCTCCCTCGACCAGCCGACATTGACGCTGCCTGCTCTCCCGCTTCCGTCTGGAAGTACAGGGAATTGCTGACTCAAGCCCGCGCAAATATGCAAAAGGCTMAAGTCCGCATGCAGCAGCAAGCCAACAGGCGTCGCGTACCATGTCCCATCCGCGCCGGTGATCTGGTTTAGGTCTCCGCGGAAGAGTTTGCACTGGAACAGGATGTTTCACGCAAACTGCTTCCCAAGTGGTTTGGACCTTGATCTGTGACAGCAGCCGCGGGCGATGAGCCCGATGGCCCTTCATTTGTGATCAACATTCCAGAGCATCTGACGGTCCATCCGGTCTTCCACGCCTCGAAGCTGGCAACATACACGCCAGCCAAGAGCGACGACTTTCCGGGTCGACGATCGCAGGACCCTCCCTCTATGGATGGTCATTAGGAAGTTGACCGCGTCATCTCCGATCGCAAGTACGGCAGCAAGCCGCGGCAGCACAAAGTCACATTCAAAGCATGCGATCGCGATGACACTCGGTGGATTTCAGGCGCAGATTTGAAAGCATCCGCACCGCTGATCTACGCACATTATGAAAAGCGGAGGTTAGCTCAGGAAGCTTCACGACCAGCCCCTCCCACCCGGACTGTGGTCCCTCCCTCAGACAAACAGCTTCGCCCTCGCAGGTAAGCTCGGTTCTTCAAGGAGGAGGGGGGGTGGCATACTGCGTAGCCACACGGGCCCTGCAGGGCCCGTCCCGGACATTCAGCCTAAAAGCCTGAAACATAGGGCTTACAGGGCCCAGTCGTTTCAGCCTGAAAGCTGAAAAACGAGGGCCTGCAGGCCCTACTCCGTTTCAGCCTATTTTTGGGTCTTTCAGACCCAGAGTTTTTCCAGCCTGAAACGGAGGGCCATTTTCAGGCCCTCATTGTTTCGACCTGCCCCTAAGACTCAGTCACGTAAACAGGGATGCGGAACAGGCCAGAAATAGCCTGTTCCTCACGAGCTCGAGCAGGAGCTGCAGCTGCAGCCCCTGCCTCCCTTCGGCATTGGCAAGAGCAGCCTCCTGAACTGCTCGCACGGCTCAGGAGGCACACCCGGTAGTACATAGGAAGTTCCCATGCACTTCACGGGTAGGTAGTTGTCAGTAGGCACAGGTAGTCTTCAGGATTCGGCCGCAGCACTCAGGAGGAGCGCTGCAGTAGTCTTCAGCGCTAGGCAGTAGTAGTAGCGCTAGCTGTAGTCYTCGGCGCTGGGCGCCCATAGCCGTAGCAGTAGTCTTCAGCGCKGGGCGCTGGTAGGTGGTAGATCGTARAGTGGGAGAGATACTGGCRGAGGCCAGYGGTACTTACCTGTGGCRCCATCGCTCCAGCTCCATCTTCGTGGTACCTGCATCAAGGCGCCAACTTCACAGGTTAGTACTGGACACAGAGAGAGAGAGAGTTCTTCTTCTCCCCCTTCTAAGTCCACCATCTCTTCTCACCCTCTCGCCACCTGACTTCTCAGACTACGACAGAGAGAGAAAGAGTTGTGACTTGAGACTTGRCGACATTGGATCCAGACTGGACACTGGGATTCCGACATTTCGACGAGGGACTATTTGGGCCTGTACCGAGACTTGGTGTTGACGACATTCCCATCTTCCCTTCCTCTTTCGTCTAACCCCTCCTTCTTCGTNGCTCAGGAGGCACACCCGGTAGTACATAGGAAGTTCCCATGCACTTCACGGGTAGGTAGTTGTCAGTAGGCACAGGTAGTCTTCAGGATTCGGCCGCAGCACTCAGGAGGAGCGCTGCAGTAGTCTTCAGCGCTAGGCAGTAGTAGTAGCGCTAGCTGTAGTCYTCGGCGCTGGGCGCCCATAGCCGTAGCAGTAGTCTTCAGCGCKGGGCGCTGGTAGGTGGTAGATCGTARAGTGGGAGAGATACTGGCRGAGGCCAGYGGTACTTACCTGTGGCRCCATCGCTCCAGCTCCATCTTCGTGGTACCTGCATCAAGGCGCCAACTTCACAGGTTAGTACTGGACACAGAGAGAGAGAGAGTTCTTCTTCTCCCCCTTCTAAGTCCACCATCTCTTCTCACCCTCTCGCCACCTGACTTCTCAGACTACGACAGAGAGAGAAAGAGTTGTGACTTGAGACTTGRCGACATTGGATCCAGACTGGACACTGGGATTCCGACATTTCGACGAGGGACTATTTGGGCCTGTACCGAGACTTGGTGTTGACGACATTCCCATCTTCCCTTCCTCTTTCGTCTAACCCCTCCTTCTTCGTCTGTGTATGGTTGGGGCTGGCGCAGTCTTCTTGTGTGACGCGCCAGACCCCCTTCACACCAGATAACRATGATGATGATGTGTGTTCAGAACTGCATTGCAATATTGATTGTTCGGATCATTCGTATCTCAGTCTTCCGCTGTGTTATCTTGTACTCTGCATTGAGAGGGCGGTTCTTGTTCTGGTCTGCACGATACAGTATGCAACATTAAGATGCTTGGCTCTTGAGACCGAAGTCGCTGGTTCGAGTCCGTGCTTGCATGGAGGACAGAGGTACACATCCATACACATAAACATAAACATCTAAACTAGCTGAGAGGTCGAGCCGCAGAGGAAACAGAAGTGAAGCTTGGTGATGCTCCCAGTACCTTTACAACTATGTTGTATAAGGGACGCTGGACCTGGTTTCCAGCAGGTGCTGCTCCCCACCAACGGACCGAACTCCTCAATCTTGGAGGCGGTCTTAGCATCCCAGGACCGTAGGACGTCACAGAATTTTTCCATCAGAAATGCTGGAGGTTAATTCTTCCCTTATGCAGGGAAGTAATCAATGCCTCGGCTCTTTTTGGAGATATTGGTAGAGGTGCGAACACACACAGAACACACACAGACTGTACTATTGGATGTGCACTATGACATTTCCACACATCATTCTGCACTATCACATCTCCACATATCATTCTATACTGCTCATACACATCACATCTCTGTTTTAGGGTTGCGTGCCTTGGTCCGATCGATAGGGTTGGGCTGCTTGGGCAGGAGGTCGATCAAAGCCTCTGCGACATATATTGATTGATGAAACATATAGACAGTATCGGATTCATGAATGACATATCCTCACATCACTGTATACAGTGTATAGGGATGCTGGACCCGATTTCCAGCGGATACACATCATATCATTGTACAGGGACGCTGGACCCGATTTCCAGCAGGTGCAGCTCCCCACCAATAGATGGAGCCTTCGACACAGGGGCCTACTTATCGGTGCTGCTCTTATCACCTCGTTAAGTAGGTTTTCCCACATGCGAAGTTCAAAAAAAAAAAAAAAAAAAAAAAAAAAAGTTGGAAAAGCTAATGTAGCTAATGTGACTATTCCTTTTGTTTTCAAAAAAAGGGGACGGCCTTGAGGTATCATTGTTGAACTGACCGGCCCCAGGTAATTCAGAATTATGATTCATCGCATCTGGATTTGAACTTGGGTGGGTCTGTATTTCAGCAGTTCATGGGGTGTACCAACTGAGATAGGCCCCTTGGTGGCTACTGCCATTTTTCCAGGTTTCCAAGCAATAACCGCCATATAGTTAAAAGTGACATTTTACTAGGGTCTCTCTTTCTCTCTTTGTTTGTTAAAAAAAAAAAAAAAAAAAAAAAAAAAAAAAAAAAAAAAAAAAAAAAAAAAAAAAAAAAAAACACCAGTTGGTACTGCTAGCTAGTGAGGGTGATATGAGCCCCCACCAGTAGCAGTCCATCTGCTGGCTCCAGTCCATTTATGGGGATCAGCACCTGCTGGAAAGCGGGTCCAGCATCCCGTATACAGAATCTTTTACAGAGGTTGCTGAGAAGTACTGCAGATCTGAGTGTGTACTTTGGCTGTAGCCAGTCTCTTCAGCCCCAGAGGGGCTACCCCAGATTCCCCACTGCTTATACTAGCTGGCTTGGCAGCCTGTTCCCTGGACCTGGTACCCATCCATTCCATATCACTAACTTCCTTAGCCCTTGCCCTGTCT